TTTCGGGACTGCGGAGGAGCGTTTCTCCTCCGCGGACTCGGATGAGTACTTTTCCAGCGGGGGCAGCTTGGCGAGCTCCGAGTCTTACGCCACACGCGCCTTTGATAACCGAATGAAAATGATTTTGGAGTCGGTCCCCACGCAGGAATTTGAGGCCCAGGATGGCTGTGACCTACTGAGTTGCATGAGGCCAATGAAGGACGGCAACTCGCATGAGGGAGGCGAAAGGTCTTACGCCTCCGCTGAGGGGACGGGTGACGATCACGTGTTGTGCCTGACTTCCGAAGAGGAGGAATATTTTGGGACACTGATGCAGGGCATCGACAAAATGGCGAAACTTGACACGGAGTTCTACGAGTACCCATCGCCGGAGTACTTCAAGACGCATCCCCCAAAGCAGGGCCTAACGGAGGAAGAGAGCGCGGAGAGCGGCAGCACCTCGACTCATCACGGTACAAAGATTTTTATTGGAGGCCTGCGGTTTGAGGTGGTGCAGGTGGGTAGGCATATGATTAGCTGGATTTTTGAGGTTGCATGTGGGGTGCGACTGTCACTTAGTTCCATTCTTGTGCATCGTAGGTCAAAGGGAGGAAGGAGCGGCTCACCCACCGGCTGCGCCTCGGTGTTCGTGCCTACTGAACAGGAGGTGGAGCGATTGCTGGCGATGAACCAGCGCATTTTTTGTGGAGAGAAGGGGGTCCACGTGGCCGCCTCTGCAGAGCGCATGTCAGAACTTATTCTTTCGAAGGCCGTTGTCGATTTCACAGACGGGCGTGCACGAGGGCCGACGCATCCAGTCATCATTGAGCGGGCATACGGCACTTCGGGCCAGCATGGAGCACGTAGCAGCACAAACGCTACACCGCGTAGCGAAAAGTTGCCATCTTGTCCCCCACCGCCGTATGATACCGTGCCGTTGGGCCCGTCATCGGTAAAATCGGCCCTAGAGCCGTGTAGTAACGCTTCGTCCATGCGGAGCAATTTTTCCGCCCCTGCGGTTACAAACACCGTAACGGTTGGTGGCGAACAACCAGGCAAAACACGACTTCTCGCGCCTGCGAACGAGCCTATTTACCACTTATATCCAGGAGCTGCGGAGGTGAACAAGTTGATGCTTCACACGTCTGCCGAACTGCAGCGGGCCGCTGCTCTTTTTGTCGGAGGGTTTTCTGCAGAGACCGAGCGAGAGTTTGTGGCGTGGGTCTTCTCATTGATGTGTGTTCCCGTTCATCCCACCAACGTCTTGCCTTACGTCGATTCCCAGTCCGGAGCGAGCGCGGGCTGTGTTCTCGTGCGGGTGGAGGAGCAGGACGTGTCGAAAGCGATGTCGTGGAACAAACGCGTGGTGTGCGATGCAGGGGGAGCGTACTTTATGGCATCCCAGCGCGCGGTCGTCGCGTTGTTGGCGGTCCGAGACAAGGCGGCCGGCCCTGCGCGACCGCTTGCAATCCGGCGCAAAGATGTTGGTCGCGGTGTGCCCAACACGACGGTCCCCGGCCCGATGGCGCCGCCGCCGCCGCTGCCACCGCCGTTTCCGGGTGCATGGGACCCTACGCAGTCCGCAGTGACGGCATGGCGGCGCACGGGCTTGTCCCCGAGACCACCGCCGCCACCGTACATGCAGAGCGTCATCATTGGCAATCAGACGTATCAACTTCCCCCGGGGACGAGTATTCAGCTGCAGGTTGTGCCGGTCATTACGGGGCCCAATATTTCAGCGGGAAGTGTGCCGTTGCAATCGACGGCCTTGTCGATGTATCAGCCTATGCCTCCCCCACCGCCTCCACCGCTGCGTTAATTGAAAAACAGTAAAAAAAAAAATAATGAAAATAAAAGCAAAAAAAAAAAAAAAACGAAAGAGAAGAACAAAACAACAACAGGAGTAAAAACGATGCGAAGACTGCTGTGGTTGAAGAAGGAAAGTAAGTGTGTTAAAAACAACAACAAAAAAGAATGTAGCAAATCCGCAAAGAAAATATATGGGTTTTTGTGAGTGAACAAATTTGGTAGACCAGCTGTTTTTTTTTTTTTTTTTTTATATCTTTATATCTATCTATCTCTCTCTCTCTATATATATATATATATATATGCTTGTGTATATAAGAGGAACAGGGAGAAGAGGAGACATGCATGCATATATCCACGTGCGAGTGAGGCGACGGACGTTGGGATGGGGACAAATAGCGATACGCTTTTAAATTTTTGCACATACACATGTGACTGGTGGGGGGTTTCGCCGTGGTCAGCAGAACGTGCGAGTGGCACACACAAATACACTCACAAATACACACATATACATATGGACACAGATACTGGACCTGAAGGAGATAATTTTACTAAATGTAATAATAAATAGCATGAAATAAGTGATAAAGTTGTTGTGCATTGTAATAAAACGAAGTGAGAGCCTTTATCTTTTTTTTTTTTTTATCCCTTTTTCTTTTAGATTTTCCTTTGAAGGCACAGTGAAATATAAGAGAGTGAGGGAGAGAGACAGAGAAAATAAATAACATCTCTTTTTTTTTTTTTGGTTTATACGCACATATATGCTAGCAATGCATGCATACACATACGTATGGATCTTTTGCTTACTATATAATATACGTCTGTGTGTGTATGTGTCTGTCCGTATTTATGAATGCTTGATTTCTTTTTGCAATTTTTGTTGCTGTTTGTGCGATGCCTTAATCTTGGCGCTCTTTTCCTTTTGTTATTATTATTATTATTATTTCCTTTCATTTTTCGGAATCATCTTTGTCCATTAGCGGGGGCCGCAGCAAAGGACTGGGAAGGAGGGCGAGGAAAAGGAAGAAGAAATAATGCAGGTTTAAGGAAGAACTGTCCTCTTGCATGTGCAGGTGCCGCATTGCCCTTTTTTCTTCTTTTTTGTTCTCTTTATTGTGGAGGAATTACCAACACAGGTCAGATGCGTACGTGTAGTAGAGGGAGAGAAAGAGGGTAAGGGAGGTACAAATGCATACGTGCATGTGTGTGCGTGTCTACACCATCAACCTCATCGTAGGAAGATGAAGTGGATTTAATTGCGTGGAGAAGGGTGGATGAAAATAACGGTGTGTGAAGTAAAAGGAAGCCGTAGAGAAATAAGGGAAGGAGAAGGAGGGAAAAGAACGGGGTTTACGCTGCAATGACAGGCAATGCCGCCTCCGCCGCAACAAAGAATGAAGGAGTTAAAGCAACGAAGAACACGAAAGGTGACCAAAAACGAAATTCATGGATCACACGGACAGACGCTTGGCGGGAATGGGGGCTAGACGGCGTGCTTTGGTTCCCTCCGTCTCTCACTTTTTTTTTTTTTTTTTTGTCTTCACTCCCTTGGACGAATGTGTTGCACCTCGTCCTGTTGTCCTAATATCGTAGGCCATTTTCCGTTTCTCTAAATCTTACGTTCAGCTCCAATTTGTACCTTTTTTCCCTCTTTCTCTGTGTATTTGGCTGCTCGTTTTTTGTGTTTTTTTTTTTTATGTGTGGCTCTATGTGAGAAAGGCATATGGTGGCGTTTTTGTTTATTGTTATCGATGACGGCAGATGGGGACCACACTTTTTGCATCTTCACGTCTATTTTGTCTTTGTTTCTGTTGGCGGTGTGTGTTGGGTGAGTGGGGGACACATGTCTTTTTCTCTCCATTTTTTATTTTTTTTTAGCGCTTGTTTGAGGCAGGTTGGGGCGGTGTTGCCGGGGAGGGTAAGAGCACAACTGAACCCACGCACAGAGGCAACAGCAACAGGAAGACGAAAAGGGGGAGCGACGGAAGGAGGAGGGGCGACAACCACAAGGTAGGGAAGGGGAGAAAATGAGCATAGAAGTTCACGTGCGTCTCCGGCCCCACGTGCCCAACGGTGTTTGGTCCTCTGCGGAGACGGTGCTATACAGCACGCACAACCCCAACACACGGTATGTGTACAACAAGGTGCATCACATCGGCACCTCGAACCAATCCATATTTCAGGGCATGGAGGCTCTCGTGCATGCCGGGTTTGACGGGAAAAATGTCACCGTGATGGCATATGGGCAGACCGGCAGCGGTAAGACTTACAGCATGAACGGTTGTGAGGCGGATCCAGGCATCGTTCCCCGCACAGCGAAGTTGTTGTTGGACCTCCGCGCGAAATTTCCCGGCACACAGATCGTGATTTACTTCACGGAGATTTACAATGAGTCCGTGAAGGACCTCCTTGAGCCACAGCGAGGCGAACTTGGACTCCATGACGCCCCCGATGGCGGTGTTTACTTTGACAAAAAGTCCGTGCCCATTGAGACAATAGATGACTTTGTGAGACTGCAGAACCTTGCGGAGCGCAATCGTAAGTA